GTGGAAATTTCGCAATAAATTTTTCGCTTTTAAAAAAATCACACACTACAGAATTTTTTTAAACTTTCACCACAGTTGCAGAGCATCATTCCTTATTGAGCATCATTCCTTATTGATATATGAAATAAAAAAGATAGGTCACCGACATCGTTTTTGAGATAGCGGCACATTTATGGGTTAAATTGGAAGGCTTTATGCTGTCGTCATGTTGCCATGGGAACATTGATGTTGTCGAAATCTAGTTTAAATGTTCCTTAGGTGACCAATATTGCCACCAAGTCGAAAAGAATTCGCGTTCTGCACGAATAAGCCTGTTTTACGGAATTATTGCTTAAACAAGAATAAATGTAGGGAGCCACCTTAAGGAGAGTGATGTCGGAAGACCTGGAGATTTTTGCCGATTGTCCAGACTCTGGCTTGAAATGTACGTCCAATCTGTTTCAAGCGACCTGCTTTATTCAGAGAACTGTTGTCTTATTTATTAAGTGTAGTTAGGGAAAATTTGGTCTGGACTCATAAATGTATGACTATATGGGTCAGGCTATGTAATTGATTTGTAAAGGTTTAAAAAAATTATTATTATTATTATTATTATTACTAGGCGTAACCACAGGTTAAAAAGTGCGGCCTGGAGACTTTAGTCACTAATGACAACGCGCCGGCTCACGCTGTTTAGGCCAAATAGTTGGTGATCATCCTTTACTTTTGCCAAAAGTCGGTCGGTCGGTCGGGTTTCTTATTTTTTATGTAACGATTTGCGTCAAATAAACATGCACATGACAAGGTACTTTATTTCATATTGTCTATTGATATATTCAAAATAAAAAATAGTAACAACTTTTCAAGTTTATGCAAAGGAGTGGCGATAATATATGGGCCAGTATTGCTCATTATATAATAAAAGTCGGCCCATTTATACTAAATATCCAATTTAGATAAATTTATCAAAATATTAACTTGACTATTTGGTATCCAATTACGTCACTTGCTACAAATTACATAACAAATAGTTACATTTG